ATCCTTTATCTGAATGGGATTTGGATTGGGACAAAGGTGTTGCATCCTCGCGGCCTCCGAGGTTTTATCTTAGTGCTATTTGTGTGTGTGGGGAACTTATAATATATTTACTCAAAAGAGTTAACAGAACTGGAATACTTTACATTTTCTGAAAAAATCTTCTGGGTGAATTTTCACACAACTTCGTTTGATAATCAGATTGTATTAGTGGTCTTTCTGCTTTTTTTTTTGTATTTCATGAATTCAGTGATTTTAGGGCAAGGGAAATGTCAACGATCGTCTACTCACCTTTCGCTCGTTATGCTGCCGTGATGCTTTATTCATGCACCCGAAATGATGGGTCTCATATGTTTTTCATGAATTTTCTTTTGCTCTACTTTTATTATGATTATTATTATATTATTATTTTGAAAACAACTCACTGATTTCACTTCTACACGTCACGTTTTCCTTCTCAGTTTTCTATCCCAATCACCGCGCCTTCATTAATCAATTCAGTGATAACTTTTATGTTGAAGAAAATGTATATGTATTGTCATTTCATATTAGATGTATTTGTATTTGACGAGAATTTGAATCACTTCTGCGAGTCTCTGCTAACCTCTCATCTGATATCCAGTCGGCTGTCTTGCGTCCGTAGCTTTTTCCTATTCGGTGCCTTTAAGTGTGTTTTTTTTTCTTCATCTATAATGGCTTCTCCGTATTTACTACGAGACTAGGCGTTTTGAGAATGACATTGTATTTTCATTTTAGGATATCATACCTACCCGTTTCTTTCTAAAGATGTGATACGTAATAGTAAAATTTTATTGGAGCCATTGTGGAGGAGATGTAATGGAATGAGAATCAATGAACGTCAGGAAAAAAGCCGGTGCGCTGGTGACACGAAAGTATCGGCCTTTCAGATTTTGTAGGTCTGGTGTACTCTGATTAAATGAGTATAATTCTAGGGCAAGGAATGTTACGAGTAGGAGACAGAGAAGGTTATGCGCGTTATGCTGCAGAGCTACTTTTTGCGCTCAAGTGAAAATTATTTATAGGATTTATTCATATCCCATAAATATACGCGTGATACTGTGGCACAGGCCCACACTTTCGCGCCTGGGAGGAGAGCCACCTTACTTGATTTATTCGAAGTTTTTCATGTTGCAAGGCTTTTCTTTCACAAAGGATTCGAAAAAGGTGCTAATTTAGTTGGGGGGACCACGCGGCGGCGCGGCGTTCTCCTGTCTGGCGCGGCTGCTTTCAGCGAGAGGCTATATGCGAGCGGGTGTGCGCTGCGTCGGTATGCTCGTCCTTGCAGGTTCTCTCAAGCTGGCGGACAGCACTTGAAGTTGAGACTATGTGATTTGTGAAGATCTCGAAGTGGTAGTGGGTTCTACCTTTTATATAGGTATAAGCCGCAGGGGAAAAAGGAAGGAATTCTGCGGTGGGCTGAGTGTTACCCAGAACGCTCGCTGCCGTTTCCTCCAAAGTTACTTCAACTTCAAAACACGCAGTAGAGCAATATCACACTGATCTACGCGCATTTCCTCCGATGCGATAGGCTTAGTCGCAATGCTACCTCGCTTGAGAGCGCGCCAGACGAGCAGAGTGCTGCGCCGCCGAGTAGTCCCCCCAACTAAGTTAGCACCTCGAAAAACTGACATTCATTGCCAATAATGAAACTTGCGAAGAATAATGACTACTGATAGAAACTATCTAAAAAATGGCGACGACATCATGGTACGGCGTGTCAAGGGGAGTGGACAGACAACTTACGAGCATTCCAGGGGTCTGGGTCGCCAGGACAGGAAGCGATTTTTGCTGCGGGAACCCCAGGTCCGGTGGCAGTCAGCAGTTCAAAGTTGTCGCGCGCATTTCGCGCTCTGAAAAATGCGAAAACGTCCCTACGAAAGACAATGTCGTCGCGTTCGCGCGGCAATGCAGAATGTGCACAATCGATGCGCTCGTCAGTTTGGCCATTTGGTTATGTGTCTCTCGTTCCTTACAGGGCCGGGTCAACCGTCCGTTGGACAAAGTCCAACGCATGGCTCTCTAGCGTGTGAGAGTAATGCCGAGAGTGAACTTACGCACGGAGATACAGACGGCTCGCGCAAGGCGAGTGCGAATGCCGGCGCGGAGAGCGGTCAACGTCGGTCCCAACGTCAGCGTCCGCAAGGTCGGGGTCAAACGGTAACGCGTGGACCCTGCTTACAGCTAAGAGTTATTGGCATAAGTGATTTCGGCCGTCAGCGAGTTGGAGGTTGAAGGAATATAAAAGAGTCAGTTCTAGCGAATAGGTGGAGCGCGGGCGGATGAAAGGTAACCGTTTATTTAGACAGGGGATCAGTAAGAAATAGTATCCACTTCGTTTTGAATTGATCGGAAGTAAATCCTCGCGAATTGTTAACGCATCCATTTGTCCAATTGCCAGGAAGATATGAAGCCTTGTCGGGATCAGGTTATCAGGAGATTGGAAAATGGAAAAATGAATCATTGCGAATTGAGTATGAATATCTAATATAAAAAGTGACCAATTGCTACCAGTCTAATACTAACGAAGGCAAAGTGCGGTAATAATCAGGCTGATCTTGCCGTGGGGCTTGTGTCTGGAAATCACCGCGCATTTGACTTGCTGCTCGAGTTCCTGGGAATCTTTGAATCAGTGTATGGATTAGCAATGATTAGTTTGGCTCAACGGCTATTTTGGTGACCATTTTCTTAGCCTTGAGGTGTAGATTTCCTGCATATTCCCGTTCAAACGGAGAAAGACGAGTCGTGTTGTCGATTTTCGTCAATATGGTATCCCGGCAGGTGGCCACGGATATCGATGTATAAGCTCTATCGCTCACCCTCCCGCCGTGAAGAAAAGACGACATTGCTGCAATTGCTCCAAGCAGCAGTCAGTTGGAACATTCGTATGATGGGTAGAAGATTGCCGCTCGCCCATGGAGACAAATCACTCCCCAGCAAATATGATTGAGGTATTTGAGACAAGGCAAGCGGCAATTGGGGGTTTGAAAAAAAAAAAAAAAATGTGTCGCAGGAATAAAGACATCACTCTGGCTATCACCTGTATCACCTGTCGTCCCGTTGATCATCGAATTGCTCGAGCGGGCGCCAGCAACGTCTCCATTCGTCCCTGTCGCGTGCAAGAGTTGTCCAGTGGACCCTCCTCGCTCGAGGGACACGATGTCCTTCATTCCTTTCGTTCAGAGCTTTCGTGAAGAAGTCTGACCATCGGGCCGGCGGTCGTCCAGGTGTTCGTTTGACGTCCCGAGGGATCCAGTCGGTAACCGCTCTGGTCCAACGGTCATCGCAAAATCGCATGACGTGTCCGGCCCACCTTATCTTCGATTCCTTGGCGAAAACGGCAGCGTCCCTGATCTTCGATCGTTGGCGTAGTTCGGCACTCCGGATTCCCCTCTGCACTTGCGTGTATAGGGTTACTCCTAGCATCGTCCTCTCGACAGCGCGTTGGATAACGCTGACCGCATGCTCGTCCTGCCTGCGCAGAGTCCAAGTCTCTGAGGCGTAGGTTAGGGCAGGAAGGACAGCGGAATCGAGAGAGGTGGGCACGGAGCCGGATGTTCTTCGTCTTCTTCACTACTCCCTCGATGTTCTTATACGCTCCCCAAGCCGCTCGTTTCCTCCTGCTCAGCTCTGGAGCTAGATCGTTCATCATATTGATTCGTATAATTTATTCTATGCTATGACGAAGTTA